AATCGCAAACCCTAGCCCGCCTGACGGAGAGGGCGAGTATCATTTGGCAACCACAAGTGCTATCAACACCGGTGACGAGTAGCGTCGCAGCGAGTGGGCAGGGCCGACGGCGAGGGAACGATTACCAGCCAAGCGGAGGCTGAGAGGAGGGCGACGAGGACGAATTGAAGTCGGCGAGAGAGATGGGGATTTTGGAATCGCAGAGAGAGAGAAAGAGAGAGATTGAACTACATATATAATTTATAATCTTAATATACTATCAGTTGGTGTAACCATTTATTATATGAATCATAAAATATTTTTATTTCATAAAATTAAATATATTTGAAAAAATAAAGAAATTCATTTGAATCAATTGGGTGATTGAATTAAGGTACTGTCCAGTTGATTGAATTACTTTTAGGTGATATTTAAAATAGTCAAAAAAGCTTCACACAACTTGGTTGGTACTATGTGATAAATTTATGTATCAGTTTGACCAGACCAAATTGATTATTGAACCTAAATTTAAATTTTAATATTTTGAAAATACTTTATTATGTGAATGTGATGTAGTTCAAATTTCAACTAATTGTATTAACAATACTTTTTTGAAAGCATGTTTAATAATTTATAAATATTTATATTATTTTATTAATATTTATGTGAATAAAATAAAATTTTATTATAATTTTTATCAATGTACAGTAAATATAAGGTTTTCAGAACCGGACCATCATCGAAACGATCAAGTTATTTTATTAAATCATTTGTGGTTTGTTTAAATTTTTTATTTATAAATATTTTAATATATATATAGTACTTTTTGTAATAAATTCAAATAAAATGTGTTATTTAAATATCTAAATAATTTAAAATTTCAAATGCTTAAACTAAGTGATGAGAAATTTATAAATCTCTATGTTATTTAAATATGTAATTTTATTTAAAATGATTTTAAATGTAGCAAAATTTATTTAGAAAATTGTATTGATCCTACCAGTTGAACCGACTGGTGTTGACAGATTCGATAGCAAATATTTTATTCAAGCGAACTAGACTGGTTATAAACCGGTTCTCGGTCCATCCGGTCGGACTGTGACCAAACACGGTTTAATTTAAAAATGATGGATCTTGATTAATGTTATTTATATATTTAATTTATAACACAATCGTAATATTATTTTCCCGTGCATCGCACGGGCCACGTACTAGTTTATAGGGTAAGGGAAAAAGAGAAACGAAATAAAAGGACTATAAAGGGAAGGAAAGATTAAAGATTGTTATTTCATTATTTGGTTGATTTTTTTTAGGTGAATGGATTTTTAGGAGTATAGAATGTTTCTTGTTTTGTGTGGAAATAAAGATCACGAATCAAGGTGTGATTTGTACCTTTTATGCAAACAAATTGAGCATCTAATCTCATGTCAAATTATTAGTTGGATAACATATTCAATTGAGAATTTAAGTGACATTTTAAAACTTTTTAAGATTTGAGATTTTTTTAGATTTTTTAATTTGGGAAGAATTTTATGAAATTTTAACTCTGGTAGGATTTGAAGTGGAGTTTCGTGTAAGTTTTTTTTTTTTTTTTTTT